GCCTGGAATGAAGGTATGTTCTTGCTTCAATTCCTCTCATTTTGTTTTTGTTAACTGGATATAGTGTAAGATAGCAAATTGTTTGTTCTGCTTTTTCCTTAATGGTTGGTTTGTATTTCTGTAACAGCCTGGTCCGGATTCCATTGGAATCATCGCAATTTCTCATGGTTGCACTGGTGTGGCAGCACGCGCCTGTGGCCTAGTGGGTCTTGAGCCTACAAGGGTACGTGCATAGAATCATTCTCATTTTCATATCTATACAATCTTGTACAAGTCCACATGTGTTTACATACGTAACAAAATTAATCTGTTTTCTCTATTTTCCAGGTCGCAGAGATCGTCAAGGATCGTCCTTCGTGGTTCCGCGAATGTCGAGCTGTTGATGTTATGAACGTGTTGCCAACAGCCAATGGTGGAACCGTTGAGCTGCTTTATATGCAGGTTAGTTTTAAACTATATGTGCTACAGTTAGTATTATTTTTCTAAAGTTAAAGATAATGACCACCATCTTCTTGATCTTTGCAGCTCTATGCACCAACTACGTTGGCCCCACCACGCGATTTCTGGCTGTTACGTTACACATCTGTGTTAGAAGATGGCAGTCTTGTGGTATGTAGCTTTTAAATATATGCTTGTTTTAGTGTGATGGCTTCCATATTCATGTTGTTCTATTTCACACGGAGTAACGAATATAAAATTATAGGTGTGTGAGAGATCTCTTAAGAGCACTCAAAACGGTCCTAGTATGCCACTGGTTCAGAATTTTGTTAGAGCAGAGATGCTTCCCAGTGGGTACTTGATACGGCCTTGTGATGGTGGTGGCTCAATCATACACATAGTGGATCACATGGATTTGGAGGTAACAAGCCTCACTCTGCACCAATTCTAATGCTCCATCCGATCAGTGTTTTGGAAATGTTAACCAATTTTTTTGGATATTGTTCTGTTAAATAGGCTTGTAGTGTGCCTGAGGTCTTGCGCCCGCTCTATGAGTCACCAAAAGTACTTGCCCAGAAGACAACAATGGCAGTATGTTAATTAAACTCATTTATTCTCCTAAGTTTCATTCTGATATATTAAATATTATTTTTCTTGATTGAATTTCATTTATCCAATTTGTCTCAAAGGCACTGCGTCAGCTCAAGCAAATAGCTCAAGAGGTTACTCAGACTAATAGTAGTGTTAATGGGTGGGGACGTCGTCCTGCTGCCTTAAGAGCTCTCAGTCAGAGGCTAAGCAGGTATTCACATAAATTACGATTTGCCTCTTCTTCTCGATGGGTTTGGGTTCTATATATATTGCTATCTTATACATTTTTCCCTACAGAGGCTTCAATGAAGCTGTTAATGGTTTCACCGATGAAGGATGGTCAGTGATAGGAGATAGCATGGATGATGTCACAATCACTGTGAACTCTTCTCCAGACAAGTTAATGGGTCTAAATCTTACATTTTCCAATGGCTTTGCTCCTGTAAGCAGTGTTGTTTTATGTGCAAAAGCATCAATGCTTTTACAGGTCAGTGCACCACTTTATTTTTATAGGTCAAGTGATGATTGTTCGAACACTTTCTCACCTCTTTTTTGGATTATGCAACTACAGAATGTTCCTCCCGCGATCCTGCTTCGGTTTCTGAGGGAGCATAGATCAGAATGGGCTGACAACAACATTGATGCATATTTAGCAGCAGCAGTTAAAGTGGGCCCTTGTAGTGCCCGAGTTGGAGGATTTGGAGGGCAAGTTATACTTCCACTTGCTCATACTATTGAGCATGAAGAGGTTAGTTCAAGTTTATTTGATGCTCTTAGTGGATATCTTTTACCTCCTAAAATTAAGTTGAAGTAATGGTTGGTGTTGTTTTCATTCTCAGTTCATGGAAGTCATCAAATTGGAAGGTCTTGGTCATTCCCCTGAAGATGCAATTGTTCCAAGAGATATCTTCCTTCTTCAAGTGAGTACTCTAGGTTGTCTATTCTGCATAAGGTTTTACTATAGATATCTAGTACCTGAAATATATCTTTCTTGTGATTAGCTTTGTAGCGGAATGGATGAAAGTGCTGTAGGAACTTGTGCTGAGCTTATTTTTGCTCCAATCGATGCTTCGTTTGCTGATGATGCACCTCTGCTTCCTTCTGGCTTTCGTATTATCCCCCTTGATTCCGCAAAGGTTAGAAACTTAGAATAAATTATGTTTTCAACTGAAGTCTTCTATGTCAGATTTTCATATTCTTAAGCTTTTTTTTAATCCCGAAAGCAGGAAGTATCTAGTCCAAACCGAACCTTGGATCTTGCTTCGGCACTGGAAATTGGTTCAGCTGGAACAAAAGCCTCTTCTGATCAATCAGGAAGCTCCACATGTGCAAGATCTGTGATGACAATAGCATTTGAGTTTGGTATCGAGAGCCATATGCAAGAACATGTAGCATCCATGGCTAGGCAGTATGTTCGAGGTATCATATCATCGGTGCAGCGAGTAGCACTGGCTCTTTCTCCTTCTCATATCAGTTCACAAGTTGGTCTACGCACTCCTTTGGGTACTCCAGAAGCCCAAACACTTGCTCGTTGGATCTGCCAGAGTTACAGGTATAAGCCAAGTTATCATATATGTTTTTAATTTTCCACAAAATCAATAATGTGCAGTTTACTAAAGCTGACTCATTTCGCCTTATAATAGGGGCTACATGGGTGTTGAGCTACTTAAGTCAAACAGCGAAGGCAATGAATCTATTCTTAAGAATCTTTGGCATCACACAGATGCTATAATCTGCTGCTCAATGAAGGTAAAAAAAAACACAACATATATCAAAAAGACTACTTGACTAGTGGCTAGTGTACACACTAATCTGTTTTGGCATTTGAATATTGGTTAGGCCTTGCCCGTCTTCACATTTGCAAACCAGGCGGGACTCGACATGCTGGAGACTACATTAGTATCCCTTCAAGACATCTCTTTAGAGAAGATATTTGATGACAATGGAAGAAAGACTCTTTGCTCAGAGTTCCCACAGATCATGCAACAGGTTTCAGAAACATTCTCTGATCTTCATTCTTATCTATTTTATTTTATTGTTGTGTAACTGAGATATTTGTTTCAGGGTTTTGCCTGCCTTCAAGGTGGGATATGCCTCTCAAGCATGGGGAGACCAGTTTCGTATGAGAGAGCAGTTGCTTGGAAAGTACTGAATGAAGAAGAGAATGCTCATTGCATCTGCTTTGTGTTCATCAACTGGTCCTTTGTTTGAGATTTACTGTATTTGCACTCTTTTCTTTCAGACTAAGCTTTTGCCTTTTTGGCTGTATTGTAAAACTGTCATGTTGTTGTTCTTGGATGTTGCTGTGAACACATAAAACAGTGTGTTTTGTTAAGAACTGTTTGCTTTGTAGTTTGATTATGAGTGATGATGATGAACTTATGAACTATCTTTTTCTTTTCTTGTTATTATTATTGTTGCATTTTAGCTTTCAAAGAATGAATTCCAACACATCTTTTACAAAAGAATTGTCCCATCACACATTTTATCCTTTTCTCCTTTCCTTAAATATATGGCAATCATTACACTCATGACTCAACCATGTCTATCTCTATCTGGTGTAGGTTTCCACAGCGACAAATTGGATTTGTAGGATAAGGTTGAGAATTTTTATGAAAAATAACTTAGAGGCAAACCAAAATCTAGTCTAATAATCTTTGAGAGTTCTGATTTAAAAGCTCAGCCTAGAATGTATCACTTGAGTACTTAACCAATGGATCACTATAAACTGGGTAAAAGGCTCAGATTTAGATCAAAGTATTTGAATGTTCAGAAAAATGCTAAAATTTTAGGTCGAAATTTTCTTCTAATAATATCAGCCTAAAATGTGTATATATATATAAATTTGGGTCGTATCAAAATAGTAATTTTAATTTAAAATATTTTCAAATAATTTTAGGCTATTTGTTTACGAACTAAACCGTAAATTTGGTTTCATTTCAATGAAAATTCTACGAATTATAAATTATAAAATACCAAGATATTTTGCTTCATATCAAACGAAACAAAAATATTAGTGTTGTTTAGGATGAATATTGTGTCCCAAATAGAAAAATAATTATTTGAATTCAATTTGCTTAACAACGACATTTAGAAAAGTATGCAGCAATTACTTAACACTTAAAGCAAGACCTATAAAATCCGTATATAGATTATCACACATAGTGGCATAGTGCAATCTAAAGTACAAAAAGGTTGATGTAAAAAAGTTTGCTATATAGCTCTCTTCCATCTTAAATTGTATTTTTGTTTCTGCGTTTCTGCTTTTCTGTTGTTGTTATTCGGGTTGATTAATATTATATATCAAGTGGCTACAATTAGATATTTGTTTTAATGATCGTATGACAAAGTAGGCATGTCGATTTGATGCCACATGAATCCCTAAATATCTAACTTGATTATATCTAATTGTCTTAAAATATCAGTTTCGTATAGCTAACAAGACATACCAAACATACATATCTTTATTTAAGTTATGGGCTTATATATACCATTAACTTGCTAGATGCATGCATGCAAACGAAACAAACATTTATGGACGTTGTTCATTGTGGTAACATTAAATGGTAAAAAATATCTGAATCATTTTTATCCAATTGTCAAAAGACTAAAGATTCAATTCTTGACTAAAGATTCAATTCCAGCGATATAACTTTACAAGAAAACTATTTACCGTAGAATCTTGATCGTATGTATCAAGTTTTGGTCGGAGGCTACAATAATTCACACATACTTAAAAATAAAATAAAAACAAAGAAAAGACACATAGAACCTAAAATATAAAATAGGGTCTATATTCACTAAATTTGTTTTATTTAAAAGTGATATGGATGCAATAATTATGCACCAATAGTAAGTAAATGTACATAAGCTTTTGCTTTGTCTTTAAAATCTTTTTTTATAATCTTGCACGTTTTAGTACATTTCTCTCTCTCTTTCTTCCTTTATAAACCCTTCACATTTCTTCTCCTTAGCTCATAAGTAATCAAACTCCAAAACAAAAAAAAAAAACAATAATACAAATCTCTTTTCTTCTTGTCTTTCTAAAAGATCGATATGGATCAAAACGTACCAATAAGCAAGAAGCTATGGAACATCGTACGTTTTCTCTTGTACATGATTCGCAAAGGTGTATCAAAACACAAACTCATCGCCGACTTCAACGCCACTCTAAAACGTGGCAAGAACCTCATGTTCCACCACCGTCGTCGCGTCCCTGCCGCTGCTTCCACCTCCTCAGACGCTTTAAACGCTGCCTCATCAGCCACCGCGATATCCCGACAAGAGTACGAGTTCAGCTGCAGCAACACACCAAACTATTCATTCCCTTTCCCCAACATGGCTTTCATGAAGAAAAAGAGTCACAATGGTCTCTTCACGTGTGGTCAAACGCCTCAGACTCTCGACGACGACTCAGCAGCCGCTAGAGCCGTTCTTGAGCTTCTTAACGGCGTTGGAGACAAAGGAAACCTAACTCCGGGAGATTTAACTGTGGCTTTGTCCCCTTACTTCCCCGGGTTTGGACGGACCCCGTTGGTGAGACCGTTAAGAGTAACTGACTCACCGTTCCCGTTAACGCCGGAGAATGATGACGTGGGCAAGAGACACGTGGACAAAGCGGCTGATGATTTTATAAAGAAGTTTTATAAGAACTTGAATCAGCAGAAGAAGATGATTGAGTTCAGCAGCTAAATATTTTAATCTGAACAGTGTGTTTCCCTCATATTTCTCTTCTTCCTTAATTTTTTTTTTTTTACTCTTTTCTGTGGTCTTTGCTGATTAAATTCCAAAGATGTACGTGTTTAACAAAAAAAAAAAAAAAGAAAATCCAAAGATGTAACAAACTAATATTTTTGGGGGGTTATTTTCACGTTTCTTAATACAATTGGATATCATCATGAATAATAATAAATAAATAAAAACACATATCATGGGTTTTGTAAGTGAAAATCTATATAGATGTTATTTGGAAATGTAAATGTAGTATTTTGTGACTTAAGCTAAATTAATTTTCACAACTAAACCACAATTGTTGCAATTAATTATGTTAATTACTTTATTTTCCAGTTTATACTTTTTCCACCAGTCTATCCAATGAATAAATACTTCAGCTTAAAACAAGAGATATCTCTAGCTACCTTTTTAATTTACTGAAAAGTAGTAAATTAGAATTGCCCACATAACTAACACTTTACAGTAAAATTGACAAGTAAATTTTGTATTAAACTATGATGAGTGAAATATCTTTATTTACTAGTATATTAATTATAAAATCTAAAACTTAAAGAAAAACAGATGAATTCAATAATAATGATGTACGTTAGTTTGAAGACATTACAATAATTTTTCATTTTTTTTTTCTTTCTTTTTGTTACGTGACAATCATCATAAATCATATGAAAAAATTAATAAAATTATTATATGATTATTATAACTTCGCTTTTATATCTGTTTTGTTGTCTCATTATATGATTATAATCATATAATTAATTAGGACATATCACATGTATGTGCGATATTCAGATCTCCGTATATCGTCGTCCTTTGATTAGTACCTACCATTTTCGTACGGCTTGAATCTTGTTAGCGTTTTAATAAATTGCATGTAAATGTAATGTAAATTATGTAATGACTTCAAAATAGACCAAAGAGGGTTACGTTTTATATATGGGTACAAAATCTTATATAGTAAAAAATGTGAATGCAGCAGTCTCACTTTACAAAAACATTTACGCACTGATGAAAACATGCTTAGAAAATTATATTGTTGTGAAATATTTTGTATATATTATATAACTTTAATGAAATAAAAACACAAAACTTAAAGTGGACATTGCAAGCTGTTTAACTCTTTCCCTAAAGCAAAAGAGAGAAAAGTGCTTTGTTTTCCAACTTTTTTTCTTTATTTTCTTTTACATCTTTTAATTTTATTTATAATATATTCACAAGTTTGAATTCATATTCATAGCAATAAGCCAATCACGGATCAAAACAACAACTCTACCACTATCAGGAAAAGCTTATATATGGCAGAGTCAATAAAAACTTCTTTAGTAAGTTACTATTTTTCATCTTTTTAGATCCTCAAAATCAAGAATGAAGAGCAAGGTTCTAAGATATTCTTTGCTTAGTTGGGAAATATAAAGTGATTAAGACAAGTAGACCATTATACATGTGTTTGATACAAAAAAACAAACTTCCTCTTACATATCTAAAGGAAAAAACTTAGGATAGAGACAATTTATGTTAATGTGGTGCGTGAATTTTGTTTTTTTTTTTTTAAATAACTATATTAACAAAATGATGTATCTACAACAATTACAATATATAACATTTATAGCATAAATAGTTATAAATATATTTCAGTTAGTAAATCTAGTTATTACATTTGTGTATAATAGTTATTCATTTACGATAACAATTTTTTTTTTAAAAAAAAATATAATATATTCGCACTCAGTGCAAAATTACATATATATTTTTGACAGCAGAATTACATTCCGTAGATGTATATTATGATATTGTAACATGCTAGAATTGTCACAAAAAATATTTGCTAGTTATTATAGCCTCATAAGCTTATGTAGTGCTGCTATATATTTCTAATGGTTGTTAAATCTTTGAGAGAAGTATAACCTCTGTATAACTTTGAGAAAGAACGTTTTAAAACTGGTGCATAATTTTTTAAAACTGATCAGTCGAAAGCATATGATACCACGGTAAGCAATTCAACATATCATTCTAGAGTTGTTATGGATTGTAACTTTTGCATGGTAACAATTGACCATCAACCACAATTAGAATGAAAGTGAATTTGATCAATCAGTAATTTCGCCCGTCCTAAGTAAATCCTTGTTATAGCCTAGAGTTATACGACAATTTGTTTTATGAGAATTTTAAAGGTAAAGAACATATATGTTTATGTTAATCATCTTCAATTGTACCTTAATTCTTAGGATTATGATTGATGATTGTTATAAGTGAGACTTTTTTTTTTGTCAATAATAAGACAAATGTGTTTATAAGTGAGACTTATAAGACAAATGTGTTTTATAATATGAGTGTGAAAAAAGCATGGCACCAATCTCATTTGGGTTTCCAACAATAACCTATACCAAAATCTGGATAGGAGATTCAGTTATGGGCCGGCTCATGAGATAAACTAATCCAACTATATCACCAACAACATAGTATATATACTTCCGGTACTACTAATCTTATGTCGTTGCTTCTTGTATATAGTTGTATTTATACAATTACAAGAAATTAGTATAAGAAAATACATATATTTTACACATAGTCAAAGTGTCCTTTTCCAATACCCCCAAAAATAAATATGATCATATCTTTTCTTGGGTCAACTTAAGACCATATGTTTTAAGAAAGAAAAACAGCATGAAACTACCAATAACGCACATAATTAATTATATATATATAATTAATTTATATACACATACAAAATTCTTAATGAACATCTATATATAGTTATTTATAAAAGGCCAAATGACTACGTTTTCTTTTACACATAGTCAATGTGTCCTTTTTCCGATTCTCCCAAAAATAATTAAGACCATATCTCTTTGTGTATAAGTGAAAAACATATTTTCTTACACATGTTAGATATAGTCAAAGCGTCTTTTTCCAATTTTCCCAAAAAAACAATTAAGATCATATCTCTTTCTTAGTCAAAAGTAAAGACCATATCTTATAGGAAATATTACAAAACTTTTTTTTTCTTGTATATATATATATGTGCATACAAATGTTTAATGAACACACAGTTAATTTTTTTTTAAAGAAAAAAATGAAAATGAAAAACTGCATTGTAGTGATGATGGTGTTGGCCGTAGCTATGGTGACTATGGTAGAAGAAGTAGAAGGGACTGCATGCATGAGCAGGTGCTTGTTCTTATGTGGTTTCTTTTTTCAACATCCAGTTTCTTGCGAAGACAAATGTAATCGCAAATGTCATCCTTATGATCAATCTCAATCACCATCGCAGTAATAATCTCTAGCTCTTCACTTTTTTTATTCAGTTTGATTATTGTTTTTATTTTCATTTTTTTGTGTGTGTTTGTGTTTAAATGTTAAACTATTATGGTCGCCTCTAAGATTTTTTTTATATTAAACGTTGTTTTTCGAAAAGTTAATATAGTTAAGCACAAAATGTCACTTGATTTTTTTTAAATGCGATGATCTTCAATATAAATAACAATTTTCTGGTTAAAAAAAATATTTCAACAATTCAAATATTTTATGTGTTGTGTGTATAGAGAAATTGACATGATTTATGTGAAAAAATTGCAGGATGGAGACTATAGGAATGAGAAACATAAAATCGTAGTTACGTCGACAAAGGAGTTGTTGATCTATTTGTAAGCATGTTGAAGCTACCAGATCAATAAAAATCATGTTTAAACTTTTATGTATAATTAATTATATCAATATCAATTCAGATTATTTTTCTAAAATGGGGATGACAGAGATTTGGATAGTCTCAAAGAAAATATATTGTTTGATTGAACATGTGTGACACTGAGAGACATACTTCCAAATTATTATTGTTTGTGTTAATCATCTGCAATGAACCTTAGAGCATCTCCACTCATACTCCTACTAATGGGTATCTAACATTAATTGTCTAATTAAACTATATTAAAAAATCAAAATTAATCAGTAAGCAATTTTAAAGAAATAAGCCTTCCACTAGAGGACCTTAATGAAGAGTACTTAATCATAATTAGAATATATTTATTTCAAATTTAAATAAACTAATAAATAATTCGAGAGAGAAGATATTTTTGTGTCGGGAAAGAAAAAAAAATTGAGAATTTTTCTTTTCTTTTTTCTCATCACCCAATCACTGGCATCCACGTTAGGGTCCTTATGCGTTGCTTCAGATACTAGAAGCAAAATCGATTTTCATCTTTTTGGGCCATCTTCAATGTTTTAACATTTATGTTAGGCCCATAAAAACCTCAAGTACCCCAATAGGTGACACCGCTGGAGAAACTCTGAGAGAATTTGTTTTTAAGTGAAAACCATTAAACCATCATCACTTGGTTGGACTAGTGTCCATTTTAAGATTCTGTATATATCTGATGATGTAAAATTAATTGAGATTCTGTATGATGATGTAAATTAATTAATTAATTATAATTATGCTGCTATTTCACAAAAATGTAAAATAACACAAGCGTTGTTCACACAATACGCGCCACCATATTAGCGTAAATTGAATTAACAATGTCGTACAAAAATATGTGCGTCATAGGGAAGACTTCGTATTGTAGTCTTTTAAATAATAACTAGATCAGTACTCGTATTATTATAGCATGGATTATATTTTGTTTTAGACATAGTTTTATATATTTTATATTTCAAAACAATTTTTTGATATTTTATGTTAGTTATAATTATTTCCGCCGTCCTTTGATAAGGATCATAATTCAGTCGTTGCTTATAATATATACTTTCAAATAATTGTTTGAAAATACCAAATTAGAGTATTTGTAATTTTTATTTTTTTCTAATATTTTTATGATAATTGTTTTAGAGATATATTAAGTTAACTTATTTGTACATGTTCCAAATTAAAACATTATACATTGTATTTATTATTTTCTTATTATATAATAGTTGTAATTAATCGTTTTCGTCTTTTTATTACCCAAAAATATTTTTTTTCAAACCAAAACAACATGTTATATGGTCTCGTTCAAACATAAATAATGTTTTGATCATAGGCGGCATGAACTTGATTTTATCTTTTAGTAATTCCATTTATAATAAAGAAACGTATATTGCTTTTGATGCCAGATCGATGACTAAGTAACACAACTCTCTCCTTGCATGTCTCAACATTCAAAGCTATCCGATTTGAGCCAAAGATTGGAAGCGGGAGGTATCAAGAAGGCGGCAAGCGAATATAAGTGGGATGATGGATCCGAACATGATGATGCATGTGACAAAGATATATGTACGAGGTGGTATTAAAGGCATACAATTTGTCAAGTTTGACTATGTGTACGAACTGAAAGATGGATCATTCCATGGTTATTTCCTCAGACACAGGTTTCACACAAATTGTATGAATTAAAATTCCCTTACTTATTCGTATTCATGTGAATACGAACTTTTTTTTTCTTTCTCTTAACCAATATTTTTGCAGTTTGAGATTACTTCAATTACGACGTAATTTATGCGATTCAATTCAGAACCAACTTGAAGATATGTGAAATAATGGGATATGAATATTATCATAACAAGTTTACCCTAGCAATGGACGGAAAGAAAATCATTGGGTTTCATGGTTCTGCCGATGCTAACCTCAGCTCTCTTGGAGCATATGTTACTTCGATTACTCCTGCAAGAATGGAAGACAAAGGGGGCAAAGAATGGGATGATGGAAGTGACTATGAGGCTGTAACAAAGATTCATGCACGAAGTGATCATAAAGGCATAAAAGACGCGACATCACATTCGATTATGTTGACAAGGATGGACATCCCAAAGATGGAACCCATGGTTCTACCTCAGGTCAAGGTTACATACTTGAGCCGGTCATACAGGCTAATTAAATATAACGAGTTAGCCTGCTTTGATGTCTATAGATGTTAATTATTCCAAAACGCTGAAACATCTATATGCATAGTATTACATGAGCATTCTCGAGAAATGGAAATGTTATTTTCAGAGTGTTCCTTTTCAAAAAATGGTTTTTAATCTGTTAATTTTCAAAAATATATCTAAATAAATCAGAAAAGTTTATAACGTTCGATTCAAAATTTACTATAGCTATAGTAAAAAATTACTTCGGAACCTACCATCACTTTCAAGTTATATGAACTTTCCTCTTTTGAGGATTTTAATCATTTGCCTTAAAAAAATGCAAATAATACTAAATATTTTGGAATAAAAGAAATTATTTTAGTGATGAGTGTTTGTGAGCCACGAAGTACAAACAAGAGTTTGCTATCAATAATATTAAAAAATTCGAAAAGATGACCGTGCATTATAAATTGACTAGCAAAGTCTGAGTCTTATTTTACACTACAAATTAAACCCAATAGTTGACATTATTGAAACACCCAACAAAAAAAAAAGAACACAAAACACAAAACTTGTGTATAAATGATCTTCACCCATCAGCATATGCACCGGTACAATACTTTCGATCCTTACTATTCTCTCCTCCACCATCAGAGGTCATCTTTCTCTTTCCCTATCCCTATATGATGATTTGTTTTTATTTACGCCAATGTTTTTTATGGTCAACATCATCTTAATTTTGTGTTTATGGAAATGATCTTCTTCCTTCAGTCTAGATTGTGTTTTTAGATATTTGGTGCAAATTATTGACTAAATAAGCAACACAACACAACTTCAGGTCTCAGAATCAAATCCTATATATTGAGATGACGGAAAGGTTGGAAGCAAGAGGGAGAACTAATCTGAATGAATGGGATGATGGATCCGATCATGATGATGTGACAATGATATATGTGAAAGGTAGTCGTGAAGGCATACAATACATCAAGATTGACTATGTCAAGGCTGGACAATCAAAAGATGGATCATTCCATGGTTACGCCAATACCGGGTTCATGCAGATGGTATATATATATATATATATATATATATGCTAATTACATTAGTGTTCATGATCAGGATAATATAATACTGACTTTTACTTGTTTAATGTCTTCACAGTTTGAGATTGACAATCTAAAAAATGAATATCTTGAATCCGTTGAGGGTGTCTATGACGCCAGTAGAGGAGTGATTACTGCACTTCAATTCAAAACCAACTTGAAGATCTCTGAAATAATGGGATATGATGATGGCGATAAGTTTACACTAGCAGTTCACGGGAAAAAAATCATTGGGTTCCACGGATGTGCTAGTGCGTGGCTCAACTCTCTTGGAGCATATTTAACTTGGGTTACTCCTAGTAGAATGGAAGCTAAAGGGGTTAAAGGAGGCAAGGAGTGGGATGATGGAGGTAGCTATGAGAGTGTAACAAAAATTCATGTACGTACTGGTTATCAAGGAATACAATACATCAAATTCGATTATGTCGACAAGGATGGGCATCTAATAGAAGGGCCAGTCCATGGTTCTAGCTCCCGCAAAGGTTTCACGCTTGAACCGGTATGTATGCCAACCAAAATAAATAATTAAACTCCATGTAAATTTGATAACTTAGGGGATATGGTCTCTTGGTTTCTAATATGCACTTTGACTCTAAAAATATAAAATGTTGAATGTTTAGTAATGTTTTTGTGGTTTGTTTTATTAGTTTGAGATCAACCATCTTGACAAGGAATACCTGCTGTCTATTGACGGTTACTATGATGAATCTGGTGTGTTTCAAGCACTTCAATTCAAAACCAACATGAAGACTTCTGAACCAATTGAATATGAAGAAGAGGGTACTAAGTTTACAATTGGATGCAACGGCATGGAGATCATTGGGTTTCATGGATATGCTGAGAAGAACCTAAACTCTCTTGGAGCTTATTTCAAATCACTTCCCATTATTAAATTAGAACACAAAAGTGGTTTGGCAGGTGCCCGTTGGGATGACGGTACTTTCCCGGGAGTAAGAAAGGTCCACGTTTATTACAACAACTATATAAGGTGTATTGGGTTCGGATATTTTGATGGCCGCAAAGTGGAAACTCGTTACCACGGGTCGACAAATGCATTTGTTGGACAAGAAGGAGAGGTCATATTTCCTAAAACACTAAACAATTCATATGTATATATTATATGTATCCATCTATGTGTGAGTTCTTGATTGAACACGACTTATTTGTCCGACATGTATTTTGTCGCGCGCAGTTTCTGGTGGACTATCCTAATGAATTTCTCACATCCGTGGAGGGGACTTATAACAACGAATCATTGATGACGTCGTTGAGCTTTAAAACATCAAAAGGGAGAACCTCTCCAACATTTGGAAATGTGTGTGATGGACAACATGTTAAATTCGTTCTGGAGAGCAAAGGTTGTGCTCTTGTTGGGTTCCATGGACTGTCTGGTATGTACTTTCTTCATGCTCTTGGAGCATATTCTTTTCCGATGCCTCAAATTGATGATGTGCAAAGAGACTAGATGCACAAGGTGGTGATGGAGGAGTTTCCCATGGTGGTTTCGACGGTGTTTGAGCATCTTCATCGATTCGAACGTAACATTACCGTCGTTTTAAAACCAAGTATTGGGTCTTGTTTACAAACCCGAAGTCCCAAAACACCAAAAATACTACAAACTTGAGGCATGATATGTATTATCTATTTTAATGATCTATAAATTCTTGTGTACTCTACTTATGTATTGTCTATCTATCCAATTTTATTTGTATCTTTTCAATAACATTTAACAAAAGACAAGTTAATTTTTCATAAACAATTAAACTTATACGTTCACACATTAACAACTGTCATTATACTTCGGGAGACATGGCTCTCTGTCTTCATTGCCAATTAATTTTGAATTGAAAACTTAAGAAACTTAATATCAAATGTAATCAAAAGTTTCTAAACGGAAACCCAAAACTTCCAACATAATAATAAAGTGTGCGCTTGAAAGTGATATGAAAACGAGCTTCCGATTCCAATTCCAAAACGAAAATTTAAATCTCAAAACAGTCGAAAACTAAACTTTCTTGCAACCTAGCAAGGTATCATGTAAGAATTAAATACTAGTCTTTGGAAATATGGAAAAAATTAAGGTTATTAACAAACTAAAAAAAACACATAAATTGAAAGATACTAATTGAGAATTCGGAATTTAAAAGCTTCTGAGTTGGTAGTTGAAATATATTCGAGAGATTTCATATATTGATCAGAAACATTACAAGCGACGTGAAACGGTTTAAAATTGTCTGCGTTATTGTTTTCAAACCTTTAACATTGGCGGCTCATAAAACATTGTATTTGCAGGTGATATACATTGTTTTTGTAAACTTTCTTGTTTTTATAACCAATACTGTATTCATCTTTCTTCCTCTCCATAGTTCCATTAGAGCTAGGGATATCGTTTTATGATACCAGATGAAAGGTGAAATGTCCAAACAGTAGATCAAATAAACGTTTTATAAATAGAATATTTCTACAGTTGATAAAGATGAAACTTACGTATTGGTCGTTATCACGTAGTTGAAAACTTGTATAATCTGTATTTGTTTTGTTCAAAAAAAAAAGTATAATCTATTTGTAATCAAAAGGGCCTCATTTTTTCTAATTTTATATTTTCTCATATTAGATGTAATGGATGAGAACTCAAATTATATATATTAGAGTACAATGTCCCACATTACTTGGAATAAAGATCTTTGGGCAATATATATAGGATGTGACAATTTTTTTCCCTAGAGCTATCTTTTGAGATTAGTTAGGCCACATTACTAATATGGTATCAGAGCCCATGGTAAGGTCCAACAAGCAAATTTCTACAAAATGGTTTCACACCTATGTGGCTCATATAAATGACATGTCTTGTTGTGGTATTTCCGAGATGTTGGGTGGAAAAAGAGTCCAATGTCCCACATTACTTGGGATAAAGATCATTAGGCAATATATATAGAATGTGGCAAGCCTTCTCTCTAGAGCTACCTTTTGGGATTAGTTAGGCCACATTACTAATAATAGAGCTACATTTTGGGATTAGTTAGGCCACATTACTAATAATATATGCTTCAAATTGGTATGATAGTGCGATATATTGTTTAACAAACTCCAATAAATAAATGCAAGCGTTGACAAAAATAGTAAATAACTAAATAGTACAATGCAAGTAGGGTTCCAAAACAATATTCGCGGCGAAGAAGACTTTTTTCTTTTTTATCAAGACTTCATCATAGTCTTCTGAAACAAGAATTTATTTAATATCGCAGAATTCATGTTTTAAAATGACTATATAATATATTAATGACTATCGAAGTAAAGTCATATATAATGGTTTAATTAGGTCGTAGGATCGATCGAATTTACAATTCCGAAAACAATATTCGTGACTTCATGTACTTTAAAAAAAAAATATATACCTTTTATTACATATTGTAAATGGAAATTAAAGTTGTAAGGTGACTATTCATTCTGTCTTAATTTTTTTCTCTATAGTTTAAATTATCTGATTATCTAACCAGTAAAAGAAAACCAAACTGTAGAATACGAATGATCACAATTCACAACAAATAAATAAATAATTTTTTTCTGCACTGAAAGTTTTCTCCAAAATATCATGCAGAATACGTACTTAATAAGAGTACATATGTATGATTTAAGTTTTCTTTAATTTGTGTGAAATGTGACAATTTGTGACAAGAGGAAGTATATTATTATAACCAATCATTTTTTTTTGAGAAAAATGTTATTCCTAAATAAGTATAACTGAGATGTGTTTAAATTTAAAATATGGTGAATTATATTCTATTAATTATTCTGCCATGTGCGACTTTCTAACGGCATCCAAATAATATTGTAAAAATATATTATGCTGAGACTTGTATATAATCACATTTTCATTATACACATAGATCCATCGCAACTCCATCAGAGTTCCATAGAGTCAAGACATCAGAGTTCAATCGGATCTCTCTTTCCTCGATCGATCATCATAGGTCAGCTGTCTCTCTGTGGTGCCTTTCTGTACATTAACTTTTCAGAGCATCTTTAAAAACTTATCTTATTATTGGCCAACGTAATGAGCATGTTGCAGAGCATCCAGTATCACCAAATGTATCTTATCAAATTATTTTTGCATCTGCTTCTTTTTAACCGAGAATAATGATCTTTTCATTCAATTAATTAAAACTTGTGTTGATCCTTGGTTAAAGAATGTTTAAGAAAGCGGTAGATGTTATACAGACAGTGAAACAACCTTAATTAGGGCTTAAAATGCTTAATCGAAATCTTGCCGATTTTGAATGGTTAAAACATTTACAACATGAAACATTAAGAAATATTTTACGTAAAATTTATAGAGAAATATTTATAAGAATAACCAAAATCGTAAATAGTAAATAAGAGTTAAACAAAATATTTTATTTAACATATCAAATAATATATAAACATGTATACGGTATATATAAATATATATCCTACCAAAAAAAAATTAATCCTACCCAAAAAAAATATATATATATATATATATATATAATCATTACATAATGATAAACAATGTGCTAAAGATACATTAACCATCTCCATTGGAGGTGCTCTAAAGCGCCTATCGTCTAAAATGAGGCCTAAAACGCTTTTTAGAAAATTATATTTATATACACATTCAATCCCAAACCTTTGTAAGTAATACAACTTTCATCCCCATAGGTGAAGATGACGCAAAGATCAGATGCGGAAGGGAGCAAGAAAGCCAACTTTTTTTGGGATGACAAATCTGACTATGATGATGTAGGAAAGATATATGTACAATATTCTCCTCAAGGCATCAAATCCATTCGGTTCGACTATGTCAATAGTGGAAAACTGATCGATGGTTCCTTTCATGGTTCTTCATATTATACTTACAAGCAGACGGTATATGATGACTTAATTCTTTTCTAGTCAAACCCTTTTTCACTTTTTTTTTTTTTTTTTTGCATGTGGACAATTTTATAAATAAAATTTTCACAAAACTTTGCAGTTTGAGATAAACCACCTGAAAAATGAACATCTTGAATCTGTTGAGGGATACTACACATATGACAATGGGATTCAAGCACTTCAATTCAAAACCAACTTGAAGATTTCTGAACCGATGGGATATCATGACATTGACGGGTGTAAAAAGTTTGTACTAGCAGTAGAGGGGAAAAAAATCATTGGGTTTCACGGATCATCTTCTTATGGGGTGTACTCTCTAGGAGCATATTTCAGTAAGATTGATCCTACTAGAATAGAAGCAATAGGGAGCACTGTAGGCAAGGAGTGGGATGATGGAGTCGACCAGGCATGTTTTACAAAGATACATGTACGAACTGGTCGTGAATGCATACAATTTATCAAGTTTGAGTATGTCGACAAGGATGGGCATCTTAAAGATGGTCCTATCCATGGTTCTATTTCTAGCAGAGGTTGCCCACACGTGGTATGTATACACACTACAAGAAAACATACTAATTTCCGACGAATTTTCGACAAAAACAATTTCGTCGGAATTCTTTGGTCGGAAAATAATATTCGTCGGAAATTGGTTGGAAATTACTGACGAAAAAATATCGTCGAAAATTTGTCGGAAATATTTGTCGGAATTTTGTAGGAAAATTTCCTACCAATTTCCGACAAAAATTCTCGGTGGTCGGAAATTCGTCGGAAATTTCTGACCATTTTTATAAATAAATTAAATTAATTTTTAAAACTATTTCCGACGAATTTCCGACGACTATTTTTATTATTTAAAATATATATATATATATATATCAAGAGTATTAAAATGAAATTAAAATCAAAAATAAAAATGAAATGAAAACTATAGTTAAAATTAATACTTAAAATAATAATTATTCATTGTATTAAAAACATACATATATAAAATGTTAAAAATGAATTACTAAATACAAATATGAAAATTATGAATTAAAAATATAAGGGAAAATGTAAACTATTAAAAATGGATAATGATTCTAAAAATTGAGAGAAGAAGATGAGGAGAAGAAGATGAAATGAGAAATTGATTTTGTTGTATTTTGAATTGTGAAATGGGTGAATACTCTTTGGTATATATAGCAAATATTTCCGACGAATGTATCGGTCGGAAATTTGTCGGAAACTACAAAAGCGGTAAACTCAATTATTTTGAATTCGTAAATGCGGGAACATACAAAAAAATATTCCGACAAATTTCCGACGACCATATAATTTCCGACGAATTTTCGACGACCGTAGAATTTCCGACGAATTTCCGACGACCGTAGAATTTCCGACGAATTTCCGACGACCGTAGAATACCTTAGATATTTCCGACGATCGTAGATATTTCCGACAAATTTCCGACGACATTTTTTATTTTTAAAAATATATAATTAAAAATAAAAAATACAAAAACAAGAATAATATATGTTTCGATGAAGTTACGACGAAATTCCGACGACCACAAAATTTCCGACCAACTAATTTGACAAATTTTCGACCACTTTTGTTTGGTCGGAAAATTTTGCTAATTTCCGACTAATTTTCGACGAATTTTAATTCCTCGAGAATTAGTGGGAAAATGGTTGGAAATTCGTCGGAAAATTTCCGACTATTATTTTGGTCGGAAATGGTGGTCGGAAATATATATGTTTTCTTGTAGTGACATGTCATGGAAAATACTTACTAAAATTATGGTTATTCAAATCGCATGAGTTTAATATAAAATGTTTACATGTAATCTTTGCTTTATAGTTTGAGATTGATCATGTTGACGAGGAATATCTGGTGTCAGTTGAGGGCTACTACGATGAAGAATCTGAGGTCATTCAAGCACTTCAATTCAAGACTAACATCAAGACTTCTGAACTTATGGGATCCCACAAGGGTAAAAAGTTTAGACTTGCAGCTAGTGGAATGAAGATTGTTGGGTTTCATGGATACGCTAAGAAGAATCTAAACTCTCTTGGAGCATATTTCACAAGGCTTACTCCTACAAAATTAAACTACCATAGTATTACTGATACAAGCTCTCGTTGGGATGATGGAGCTTTTGATGGTGTCAGAAAGGTGACTGTTTCATACGGAAGTAGTTATATAAACTGGCTGGGGTTTAACTATGACAACGATGGCAAAGTAGAAAAGCGTCACCATGGAATTGAAAATTCCCACACTGACAAAGAAGTAGAGGTTAAAGTTCTAATAACTCTCTATCTGTAACTATATATGTACATAGGTACGTTACTAATAGCTTATGTGCACCTCCTTTTATTGCAGTTTGTGGTTGACTATCCGAATGAATATATCACGTCTGTGGTAGGGACTTTCATAACCACGGGTAGAAATTATCTTACGTCATTGGCTTTCAAAACATCAAAGGGGAGAACCTCTCAAAAATTTGGAGACGGAACTTCTGATTCAGTTGAATTTGTCCTAGAGAGCAAAGGTTGTGCTATTGTTGGATTTCATGGATGGTTGATTCCTAATGTTATTTCTGCTCTTGGTGCATATTATTATCCGATGCCTCTTCCTCCTGCTGCGGAAAAGCTAGAAGGACAAGGTGGTGATGGAGGATCTCCATGGGACGATGGCAGTAATTTCGAAGGTGTTAGAAAGATATACATTGGGACAGGTGAGATAGGTATCGTATCCGTCAAGTTTCTGTATGAAAATGACACTCAGGAGATAGTAGTGGGAGATCATCATGGGAACAAGAACCTTCTTCGACATCAAGAGGTGATTACTACTACCACTTCACTTTTACTAATTACTTTTCCAATTATACAAACTTATTCACTTTTATTAATTTACTTGTCCAATTATACAAACTCATTTATATCTTATCTTTGATGTTGCTGTTATGGATTTTTTATTTATTTTCTGTAGTTCGAGCTAGACTATCCGAGCGAGTACCTCACATCAGTGGAAGGTAGTTATGATGTAGTACCTGGAAGTGATTTTGAAGTTATTCTCATGCTTAAGTTCACCACCAACTTGCGAACATCTCCATGTTATGGTCTCGATGATGACACAAGTTTCGTGCTCCACAAGGAAGGTCACAAGATCGTCGGGTTCCATGGGAAATCAAGTAGCATGCTTCATCAACTTGGCACCCACGTGCTCCCCATCACCCACTCCTGAGTCTTGAATGATCATCTTTATATTACTGAAAACGAAACATTATCCTTCTCTGTTTTCAATAACTTTGATCCGTTTCTCCTCTGTTTCTATTTCCCGATTCCTCTGTATCTTTATAAAAATGTAATTAATTTATGTTCAGATTTCAGAAGGACCCTATATTTGAAGAACAAAAAACTATGTGCGATGTGCTATCAAATCCCTTTGCAAAAAATCTTGCACAACAGAGCCGAAGAGAGAACATGAACTGATTTTAACGAGTTATGATCTTATCATTAAACATGATTTTGTAATTGGTAGAAGAGTGAAGGTTAATATTATAAGACTGTGAAATTAGAGTCAAACTAACCTCAATCAAGATCTGGTGAATGAGAAAACCTTGAAGCATTCCGCATGTTATGTAGATATACCTGCAAATTGAAACATAATAATTATGAGGGAGACCAAGTTGTAATCATGAAAACAATAATCTTATATTAAATAATCATTAGTTATTGCAGTTAGGAACATACCGATATCAGTTTGGTCATTACAGCCATGGTTGACCTGCAATGGTATCGTGCTTTAGAGTAAAGAAAGATTACAACAAATTTATAAATAAAGTGGTAGAGTAAAAAGTATTAAGAGGAACTGACCTGATTGATAAATAGTATAACAGTTACATATATATATGAGACATGGTGACTGAAGGTACCAAGAGGAATTTTAAATGGCCCATTTATGACATACCATTGCTCTACATAGCAAAGGAAGCATTACTGAAATCTCAATGGAAGGTAAAAAGTCTTGCATAAACAGACACAAAGAAGGAACATGAAGAGGATCTATCTTTCTTTCTTTTTTGAACAAAACAGGTTATAATCTAATCACTACAAATGATATTTGTATATGATAAAAAAAAAAAGTGAAGTTCAGTATTATAGACTACGAAATTAGAGTCAAACCAACCTTAATCAAGATCTAGCAAATGAGAAAACCATGAACCTGGATGTTACGCAGACACCTGCAAATAGAAACAAACAAAGTAAAACGAAAGAGGGCGAATTTGAAATATTTTCTAATTGAAGGGAGCCAAGTTGTAAAGTGAAAGTTGTGGTTCTTCCTACCACTTAACCTCAACGTCGTGACGCCAGATTTAATCAAATGTTTTCCACCATAAGACGATAGCATCTCTGAATATGTCCTCCTGGAATAAGCAAAAAACATCATACTACATATATGTAGAGCTCAAGAGTCGTGATTTAAGAGAAAGCAAACATGAATAGAGAGCAATCCATATTCAGCTGAATACATCTAGCAAAAATTAAAACAGCTATAATCGGAGTTACCTTTGTAATAGTAGAGTGTAGACTAGCAATGAGCTCCAACAAGCTTCAGCACTTTGGAATGTGCCTTCACCTCCCTCATCTAGAAACCATGATAGCTTCTCGTTCTTGATACCAAACTTTGAGTTATTGTTCCCAGTAAATAGCTACATATGGCTTCACCTAAAAGTGTAACAAAAAGGAAAAGAAAATATCACTAATAGAGCCAAGCTGTGTTGAACAATTCTGTTATATAAACTAAAAAGTGATGCTAAAAGTTAAATTTACCAATACCTGAGGATCGTCACACAGCAATACAGTAACCTTCTTACCATCAATTCTTTAATCTTCCCACAATAATTTTCAAGTCAAACTGATCACTATTAACATTTACGAAAACACCTTCTTGAGCAGCTAAGAACATCATCTTCCAACAGCCTCCTATTATTCCCCATAGAAAATGCACCTATACAGGAAAGACACTAAAAAATCTTTATATCAATAATAAGCACATTTGAAAATTTTGCTAATTGAAATCATGAAACCTGGTAAATAAGAGTCAAACTAACCTAATGATGTTATTAGCTGATGAGAAAACCCTTAACCATTCAGCAGCACATTACCGTTACGTCTATACACCTGTGAATAAAATCATATCAATGTAAAAAGAAAAGGTATCAGTTTGGTCATTGCACCCATAGACGACCTGCAAAAGTATAGTCCTTTAGAAAAAGAAAGATTACAACAAACTCCAAAATAATTTGCAAGAGTCAAAAATAAAAGGCACTAACATGTGTTATAGTAGCCCCATGTCTAGAAAAAGTTTATCAAAACCGGAAACCTTGATAGACCAAAAATTGGAGAACTTTCAACAATTACCTGCATCAAGAATTCAAAGGAGCAAAGAGTGAGTGATACACTTAAACTTTGATGTTTAATGCAAATTACTTCAGGACAGATAGGTAAACGAAACAGTAGACTTCATGACAATATGTGACCAATTCCACCTGTATATCACAACATACACTCTTCCTCACTTACTCACTCTTCTAACTTTTATACTTTTATTTTTTTAGTATGTACTTATGTGTATGTAGCTAACTTACCTCAGCACCTGGTTGTGTTTTGGACAACAATAAAATTGTTCAAGGATTCACATCTCACAGTCAGTTACAAATAAAAATATTAAGCAAGCTCAAAATCCGGTAATTTACCTGTCCACTTGGTGAAGGAATAGCTCTGCAACTTCATGATCCACTATCACAATGCAATATGTATGTGCTATGCTCACAACAACATACAAGACAAGATAAAGAGTGAAACCTTTCCACTAACATGAACATGTCAAGATCTAATCAGTACAAATGATATTTTGTTATTGGTAAAAAAATTTGAAGTTCAGTACTATAAGATTGTGCAGTTAGAGTTAAACTAACCTCAATGAAGATATAGCGATTGAGAAAATTCTGAACCTTGAACTATTCCCTATGTTAACGATACACCTGCAAATAGAAGCATACCAAAGTAAAAAGAAAGGGGTAAAATTGAAATATTTGCTAACTGGTATCAGAAACTCGTCCTACCACGGTAACCTAAGAGTCGAATTTGATCAACGTTTTCCACCATAAGACTGCAGAATCTCTGAATATAACCACCTGAAATAAACAAAACATATGGAAATATGTATAGCCCAAGAGTCGTGAATGAAGACACAAAGCAAAGGAAAACATGAATAGAGGGCAAATCGTATTCATCAGGGTATATGTTAAGTAAACACAACTTACTACAATCAGAGTTACCTTTATAATGGTAGATCTTAGATGGCAATGAGCTTAGATACCTTTGTTATGTGCCTTAACCTCTCGCAGCCAGAATCCATTATAGCTTCTCGTTCTCAATACCAAACTTTGAGGTCTTGTTCCAGTAACTAGCTACATATGGATGCACCTAAAATATGTAAACAAAACAGAAAAGCTCATTCAAAACTAAGCTGTGTTGCACAATTATGTTATAAAACTAGAGCATAATGCTACAACTACAATCAGAGTTACCTTTGTAATGGTAGAGCCTAGATAATAATGAGCTCCAACAAGCTTTAGCTCTTTGGGATGTGCCTTCATCTCTCTACTCCTGAAGCCTTTATACATTCTCTTTCTTGATGCCAAACTTTAAGTACTTGTCCGCAATAGAAAGGTAGGTAGCACCTAAAAATTGTAACCAAACTGAAAAACTTCACTCTCACCTGTATATCACAACATAAAATCTTTATCACACATGCTTCTTTTTTTTTTAAAGAAAAATAAATATCTAAGCTTATGTGTATGTTTCTGACTTACCTCAGCACCAATTCCAATTTCCAAATCGAAAACCATCAGAGAATCATGGACTTGCGTTTTGGAAAACATCAACCTTGTTCAAGGACACACATCTCACCGTCAATTAAAGAGAAAAACCAAAGAAAAAATATTTAGCAAGTTCATGATCCGATAATTACTTGTCTACTTGGTGAAGGAATAGCTCTGCAACTTGGGGATCCTCTATCACAATGCAGTCTATGTGTGCTCTGCTCGCAACAACATACAAGACAAGATAAAGAGTGAAACCTTTCCTCTAACATATCAAACAATTTGCAAAACATCACTACAGTATGTCGAGTTTCTACCTCCCATGAATGTAATCGTAGCACCGTTAATGTCTTCTACAACTTCAATAGAGCAAGCCATGGAATCAGTATTCATGGTTGAACGACCATGCTTCTGGTATGTTCAGTATTGTACTTTCCCTTGGTTCACCATACAAAGTGACTCCTACAGTTACATGTACATATTCATGAAGTCCACAAAAATTAATAATCTAACAGCTACATAGATCTGTGAAACATCGTGACTGAAGGTATATCAAGAGAACATATAAATTGCCTATTTATGACTTACCGTTGCTGTACAAAGACTTCATTGACCACTGCATTCTGCTATATAGATCCGTATGAAAAAAAAAAATGAGGGAAAAAGAAGAACTTAAACACCCCACTGCATTACAGAAATCTTAATTGAAGGTAAATATTTTTGCATAAACAGAACTGAAGATGAAACATGAACATGCTATGATCTAAATCACTACAAAAATATTTGTAATGGGTAAAAAAAGAAGTTAAAAATCTATTAGCCTGTGAAATTAGAGTCAAACTAACCTCAATAAAGATCTAGCGAATGAGAACACCTTGAACCTAGAACCATTACCCATGTTACGTAGATACACCTGGAAATAGAAACATACCAAAGTAAAAAGAGAGAAGACGAATTTGACGTATTTGCTAATTGAAGGGAGCCAAGTTGTAAAGTGACAGTTGTGGTTCCTCCTACCCATGTAATCGCAAAGTCGTGACGCCGGAAGTGATCAATTGTTTCCACCATAAGACTGAATATATCCACCTGGAATAAACAAAACATACGCCAATATGTAGAGATCAAGAGACAGCAAAGGAAAACGTGAATAGAGAGAAATTCGTATTCATCTGGTTATATCTAAACACAACTTAAAGCAACTACAGTCAGAGTTACCTTTGTAATGGTAGAGCTTATATGGCAATGAGCTCCAACAACCTTCAGCACTTTCGGATGTGCCTTAACCTCCCTCAGCCAGAATCCATTATAGCTTGATACCAACTAGAGTTCGTGTTCCAGTAACTAGCTACATATGGATGTACCTACGAAAATGTAAACAAAACAAAAAAAGCTCATTCATAACTAAGCAGTGTTGAACAATTATGTTATAAAACTAGAGCATGATGCTACAACTACAATCAGAGTTACCTTTGTAATGGTAGAGCCTAGATGGCAATGAGCTCCAACTAGCTTTAGCTCTTTGGGTTGTGCCTTCACCTCCCTCATCCTAAAGCCTTTATACCTTCTCGTTCTTGATGCCAAACTTAAAGTTCCTGTCCGCAATAGGAAGGTAGATAGCTACCTACTTATGGATGCACCTAGCAAATGTAACTAAACTGAAAAATTTCATTCATAACCAAGCGGTGTTGAAAAATTATGTTATAAACATAAGAAATTTAACCACACCTGAGGATTGCACGCAACAGTACATTGATATGCTTACCAGCAATTCTTGAATCTTCCACAAACAACAGTTTCATGTCAAACTGATCACTATCAATATTAACCAAAACACTTTCTTGAGCAGATATGAACTAAATCTCCCAAAACCTTCCTATATCCATTGAAAATGCACCTATACATGAAAGATAAAGAAAAAAACTGATTAGATCAATCATAAGCACATTAGAAATATTTTCTAGTTGAAGGGGACCAAGTTGTAATCATGAAATGTGATAAATAAAAGTCAGACAAACCTACTCATGTTCTTGGCCAGATGGGAAAATCCTTAACCGTTCTAAGTCTATACACCTGTGAAAAGAAACATACAAAAGTAAAAAAGAATGGGGATTAACTTGAAAATATTTGCTAACTGAAGGGGACTAAGTTGTAATGATGAAAACAAACAAGGTTATGTAAGAAAAATAATTAGTGATTGCAGTAAGGAGCATACCTGTATCAATTTGGTTATTACAGTCATGGAAGACCTGCAATAGTATCGTGCTTTAGAAAAAAGAAAGATGATAACAAATTCATAAAACAAAGTGGTAGAGCAAAAAGAAAACAAAAACAAAAGGCAATTACACTGTTATAGTAGCCAATCTCGAGACAAGGTTCAGCAAAACAGGAAAGCTCAAACGGGAATTTTGACAATGAGCTGCATCGAGATTTTGAAGGAAGAAACAGTGAGTGATATGCATAAAATTTAAAGGAGCAAGTAATAACCAATAACCTAAACGAAACAGTAGACAAAACCTGAGAGTATGAAATCAATTTGATTAAGGACAAACAGTGTAATCAAGTTATGATAGTGTTATCAACTCAGAAGAAACATAAAAGAAGATACATAACCACAGAAGAAACAAAACTAGGGTGTTCGTCTTTGTGCGATGTGCTATCACAAGTCCTGTTGGACACAAAACAGTAGAATCCTGCATAAATAGAGCCGAAGAGGAGATTTAATAGAAGATGAACAATTGATTATACCAAGTAACCAACTAATCAGAAATCAAATCACAATAACAAAACTCTTGTTACCATAGCTCTTTGGTTTTTAGGATAAAACTAAGGAATCGTCGTTTTTGCTCGAACAAGAGATGAATGATACCTACAACGCACAAAAATGCATATGAAAACAGGGTGACATGAGTATCGATGAACCCTAGAAAAACCATACAAACATAACATGAGAATCACCATTGACGAAGTGAAAGGGAAAGAACGATTATAACCTGATCGGACTATAGAGAAGGAAGAGGAGTGGAAGACGAAAGAACAAATCTAAGCAGAGAATTTGGGGAAGGAGAGAAAAGCCTCGTACTCGTATAAATAGAAGCAGATGATGTTTTTATAAAAAGGAAATTACTCAACTGTTATAAATAAAAAAAGAAAATTCACAAACGGTTACCTTATGAAAAAAATGGAAATTTACTTGCATTACTTTTAAGCTGTTTAATGTTTTTACTAATTGAGAAAAAAAAAAAAAAAAAAAAGGAAATAACTGAAGCTTATAAAAAAGAAAATTATTGAAACGTTAGAAAATAAGTAAATTCACAAACGGCTACTTATGAAAATAAAAAGAAATTATTCCCTTAGCGTTAATTTTACTCCTTGAGGGAAAAAGGAAATTTACAAACGTAATTAATTGGGATTAATTAAAACTAACCGACTCCCCTACATAACAAAATCCTAATTACAATCCGGTTTTATCTTTTTTTTTTTCCTTGTCATAAATGTCCGGACAGCCCAACTAAATCTTATAGGGCTTTTAATCTATGAGAAGCCCATTAAAAGATGTTATGAGAGATGAGCTAAGCTAATTGCAACTCTTTTCTTTTTTTGTTTTACAATTGTTAACAATCATTATTAAAACATTTGTCTGATAGAACATGCGAGACACAGAGAGGCTACGCATCATTTTTATGATTCATCAAAGGCTCTGGTTTTTGGGAGAATGGCGTTGACTTCGTTTATGTTATTCGCTTAGGGGATTTTTTTTGAAATTTCAAAATTCACAATATATTTTAAATAGATTTTTTAACATATAGTAAAAAGATTAAGATTTGTGGATAAAACATGTTATGCAAAGTTTATATGTCTGAATTTCAAAATAAATAAAAAATTTTTAATTAGTATATGCATTTACAAATGCATGAACCAATGAAAATCCATAAATTATATATGCTGGAGATTTGTATTTATATTGCATTATATTCTTTAACAAAGTTCAAGAAATAAATGCAAGCGTTGACAAAATAAAAACTATTGATTTTCTGCCAGAACTTCTTAATTATTCAAAGAAAAAAAAAACCTTTTTAAATACTTAAAGTACGTAGGGTTCTATTATTTTTGGAAAAAAACATGTGAATGTTTTAAGATGGCTGTATGGCCTTATATAATTGACTTGGATCCTCGTACCGTAATATGCATATTTATTAAAAATAAAACCGGGAAAATAAATACCTTCATCCCCTTCGTTATAGAGATCATCATCGCCTCTCTCTCTGTTTCGGTCAGCTTTCTCTAATATAGTCTCTATGGTGCTTTTATTTACATTAATGTTTTAGAGCTCTCTTCTATCCTAAATTATTGTAAACCGTAAAGAGTATGTTATTAAAATTGTAGAGCGTCCTATCACCATATTGTAAGTAACAGTTGTAGAATTTGTGTTGATCATTGTATATATATTTTTTTCATTCATTTCAATATCCCAAATCCAATATGTAAATAACTGACTAATAAACACAATTCTGATTCATATGTGCAGATTTGAAATATCAAATCAATTCAAGATGACCCAAAGATCGGAAGCAGAAGGGAAGGAAGGTTACTACAAGTGGGATGACGAATCTGATCATGATGATGTAACAAAGATATATGTACATTATTCTCTTAAAGGTATAGAGTCCATTCGTTTCGACTATGTCAAAAATGGAAAACCAAATGTTGGATCCTTCCATGGTGAATCGTGTAATACCTTCACGCAGACGGTATAAGATGAATTGTTTTTTTTTTCTTGGTCAAACCCTTAATCCGCTTTCTTGCATGTGGATTTTTTTTGAAATTCTTTTTTCTGTTTGAACCAAATTTTTGCAGTTTGAGATAAACCATCTAAAAAATGAACATCTTGAATCCGTTGAGGGCAACTACACAAAGGAAAATGGGATTCAAGCACTTCAATTCAAAACCAACTTACGGATTTCTGAACTATTTGGATATGATCATGATGGGTGTACTAAGTTTATACTAGCAGTAGAAGGGAAAAAAATAGTTGGGTTTCACGGATCATGTAATTCTACTTGGAGGGTATGGGTAAGCTCTCTAGGAGCATATTTCACTGATATTACTCCTACTAGAATGGAAGCCATTGGGGGCAAGGTAGGCACAAAGTGGGATGATGGAGTCAACGGGGCCGGTTTTACAAAGATACATGTACGAAGTGGTCAAAAAGGCATACAATTCATCAAGTTCGAGTACATTGACAATGATGGGCCAATTCATGGTTCTATCTATAGAGGAGGTTCCCAACACTTGGTATGTATGTATACATGTTGTGAAAAATAGTATTATTTTAAATAGACGTAATGTAATCTTTGTTTTACAGTTTGAGATAAACCATGTTGAAAAAGAATATATGGTGTCTGTTGAGGGTTACTACGATGGCGATGACAAGTCTGGGGTCATTCAAGCACTACAGTTCAGGACAAACATCAAAACTTCCGAACTTATGGGATCCAACACGGGCAACAAGTTTAGACTTGCAGTCAGTGGAATGAAGATTGTTGGGTTTCATGGATATGCTGAGGTAAATCTAAACTCTCTTGGAGCATATTTCACACCGCTTACTGCTCCAACAAAGTTGGAATGCCACGGTTTTACTTCTGAAAGCACCCTTTGGGATGATGGTGCTTCTGAGGGTATTAGAAAGGTGTCCGTTTTGTGGTATAGTGATTATATACGGTGTCTTGGGATTGACTACGAAAACTCTGGCAAAGTAGAAAAGCGTGACCATGGAATGAACAACGATGAACACGAAGATGAGGTTAGAATACTTATAACTATATATTTGTAAGAATGTATCATATATGTTGTCGAATAACTTATTTTTTTTTAGAGAAATACGCTCAAATAATACCAAAATATGTTTTAAAGACAACTATAACACACACCACAAATTTTCAAAAAAAAAACAATAGTACTAATTAACGCAACTATAATATTTTAAATAATTTTTTAGATTTTTTTAAGGTTTGGGTTGACAATTTTACATTTGTATAGCTTTTAAAGGGTTTGGTTTATTGTTTAGAATTTAGGATAATTTTGAAAGTTTAATTTTGGTATATAGAGCTAAATTTGGAAGAAAAACTTAAAATTAATGATATTTTTGAAAATTTTCCTTATTTTTATTGTAGTTTGTTGTTGACTATCCAAATGAATTTATCACGTCTGTGACGGGGACCATTAATTCTAGATATGTTACGTCATTGACTTTCAAAACATCAAAAGGGAGAACCTCACCAACATTTGGAGACCGATCTGATTCAGTTGAATTTGTCCTCGAGACCAAAGGTTGTGCTATTGTCGGATTTCATGGATGGTATCAGTTTGGGATAGTTACGGCTCTTGGTGCATATTATTATCCGATGCCTCTTCCTCCTGCTGCGGAAAAGCTAGAAGCACAAGGTGGTGATGGAGGATCTCCATGGGATGATGGCAGCAATTTCCAAGGTGTTAGAAAGATATACATTGGGACAGGTGAGATAGGTATCGTATCCGTCAAGTTTCTGTATGAAAATGACACTCAGGAGATAATGGTGGGAGATCATCATGGGAACAAGACCCTACTTCGACATGAAGAGGTGATTACTAGTAATAACTTCACTTTCACTAATTACTTGTCCAATAATACAAACTTATTTATATATATTTGATCTTTGATGTTATACTTATCTTATGTTAGTTCGAGCTGGACTATCCGTGCGAGTACCTCACATCAGTGGAAGGTAGTTATAATGTAGTACCTGGAAGTGTAGAATTTGAAGTTATTCTAATGCTCAAGTTCACAACAAACATGCGAACCTCTCCATGTTATGGTCTCGATGATGAACCGAGTTTCGTGCTCCACAAGGAAGGTCACAAGATCGTTGGGTTCCATGGGAAATCAAGTAGCATGCTTCATCAACTTGGCATCCACGTGCTCCCCATTACCCACTCCTGAGTCTTGATCATCTTTATATTACTGAAAAACGAAACATTATCCTTCTCTGGTTTCAATAACTTTGATCCGTTTCTCCTCTGTTTCTATTTCCCGATTCCTCTGTTTTTATATCCTCTGTATCTTTATGAATTATGAACTTTTTTGAATGATTTCTGTCTTTAAAAAAGTGTAAGAAGTTGGAGTAAAGTTCATTGTGAGTTATCTACGTTCAGCCGTTTCCTGAAGCGAGATTTATTTTTCAGATTCCAAGAAAAGGAAAGATATTGTTCTATCAATCAGAGATGCTCAGCTGTTCAACAAGAAGCTTTCAAGTGCTTAATTCGTCTTGCTTAAGATGAAAGTGGATACAAAGTTTTACTAATGCTTAAGTTAAAGCCAAACAAAAGAGCCATGTTTCGTACTCCACAAGGAAAACCACAAAATCGTATGTTCCCTTGCATACAAAACGATCATATGACGAACAACCCGAGTATATGCTTCCTTCCGACAGCTGTTAACTACTACCTGCACCTAGAACCAATGATACCAAGCGATGAGTGATACTGAGGTAGCAACTAAATTCCAAACTGATGAACAATAACGTTCACTTCAGGATAGACTGTCCAATCAAAACACTTGGCCAAATAAGACAAATTTTGATCAATCAGCTTCAGGACAGACATTGTGATCAATTTATGTTCAGAAGGACCCTATATTTGAAGAACAAAAAAACTATGCGCGATGTGCTATCAAATCCCTTTGCAAAAAAATCTTGCACAACAGAGCCGAAGAGGGAACATGAACTGATTTTAACGAGTTATGATCTTATCATTAAACATGATTTTTGTAATTGGTAAAAGAGTGAAGGTTAATATTATAAGACTGTGAAATTAGAGTCAAACTAACCTCAATCAAGATCTGCGAATGAGAAAACCTTGAAGCATTCCGCATGTTATGTAGATATACCTGCAAATAGAAACATAATAATTATGAGGGGGACCAACTTGTAATCATGAAAACAATAATCTTATATTAAACTAGTCGGTTGCCTGCGCTACGCGCGGGAGTTTATTATGTTGTTTATGAGTAATTAGTTCGTATTTTATTTTCTACTTATTTTTTCACTATACCATACTTTACTTTTTAAAACTTAAATTGTGTTTGTATAGAAAAACTATTGAGTTTTAGCTTTATTAGTTGTTGAGAAATTAAGTGTGTATAGTATAAGTCGAAGTGTTGGCGTAAATGGAAGTGCGGTTGAGAATCATTGAGAAACGTGTGCTATTAGGGTTTTTACCAAATATAGATCTAGATGTTAATATTTTGGGCTCTTTTATATGTTGGCATGAAATTTGAACATTATTTGTGGGTTTCGGGCTTTAATTTTTAACTGTTTACATTATCTCTTTATATATTGTCATAATTTATTATTTTTTGTTTTACGTTTTCCTTTTTTGGATTTGTCGTACTTTATATCTCGTAATGATCATTTATATACTATTATATATTTTGTTCTGATTTTATGTTTTATAGTTTTTTTTGTTTTTCATATGGAACAATTTTTAAATTTAACATATTAGTATAATTTACTTTATATTTAGTTTATTTCATTTAATAATATTTTTTATTTTAATTTTCAATTTTATGAATTATAGTTAATTTTTTATTTTGTTTATTAGTTTAACATATGAGTTGTATTGGAAACAAATAGTTAAATTTATAATGGAAACTTTTAAAGAAATATTATTTTTATTTTTACCTTTTTAT